CAGCTGGCTGCTCTTCTGAAGCTCTGATTGGCTAATCCCTGCTGGTCACTTGCGCTTTTCCTCCCTGCGTGTCATTGAACTTTCTCTCGCCGAGTGCCAGGTCCGAGGAGTGTTTTTTCTCTCCCGTCTTTGCCCAGGCCCGTCCTTCATGTGCCCTGCGAATGGTCCGGGTGGCATATGGGGATATGTAAATAATTTAATGAGGTCAAAAGTGTGAGAGTCTCCTCTTTTTTCCCTTCATTCAAACCTTTTTCATGGCATCGATGGTTAAATATGAAACGTGCTTGCTGGGTTGTCAGGAACACCACCTTTACACCTGCTATAACATGCATCTGCATTCACTGGATACTTAATGAAAGCTGCACATGAATGCAAGACCTCCCCCTTCCTCGGCCAGGAAAGTTTCAGATGAAAACAGTGTTCAATGCACCTCAAAACACCTCTGAGTTCAGTTGTTTCTAACTTTTTCCATTCAGAGACAAATACAACTCCAATTCCAAAAAAGTTAGGATGCCATTTAAAAGAGCTCGGGATCAAACAACTAACCCTCTGGTAAATAGATGACCTCACCCCACCTCCAAAGACACAGCTACCCTCTACTTTACAGCACCTGTTGTTCCCTGAAACTCTCCCATCCAGGTATAAACCAGACCTGACACTGGTTAGTGTCTGAGATCTGGAGTGCTCAGGGTGATGTGGTTACTCTCCACTGTGGACATTGATAGCTGTAGATCCGATGGCCGAGTAGTCATTATTGTTGTACTTCTTTGAAGTTCGCCAACTGTCCATGTGGTCACAAAAACAGGCAAGCACCCAGACAGCCACACGGATCCTCGCACTCACCGTCTGATGATGTATGTCCTTTACACAGGAAGTTGTCATCAGCCTCATGCCGATTACGTCCGATCTCTGTTTCTTTACTTGTCAGGCTCACTTGATTTTAACCCCAATAAAACATGATTCAGACTCTTTAATGTTCTGTGCCTCGCTAGATTTGAACTTTTACACCTCAGCAATGCTCCACAGAAAATAAAAAGCTATTTTTTTAGTGCGTGTGTTCTGAAAGTTTGCTCACAGTTTGCTCAAACTTAAACGAGCTAATCTGACATGGATGCACCTAATTTGGAGCTTTGGGGACTACACAGCCACATTTTCATACTAGTTCTTCTTTACTTGAATTTCAGGTGCATTTCTACTCTTCTCAAGTCTGGATAAATAAAATGACTTAAAACTGTTCTGGACACACCACCGGCTCCAAGAACAGGTCTAGGATCAGCATTAAAAAAAGACAAGAGGAGGAGATCACATGTAACTTACACAGTTCTAGATTTTTCCACTGAGGGTGGAAAAACTACAAGAAAGGAAGTTGAACCTGTTTACATGGATGCTAAACCTCTCAGTATCCTTTGCTTCACTTATTGGATTGGCTGGTCTTGTACAGCCTCCTCTTCTCCTCATCAAATGCAAAGCTAGCACTGAGTCATATACTCTGAATATTTCAGGGACTAATCTGTTCTCCAGTGGAGCCCAGACTGACTTCAAAATGGAAAAAATGCCCCTCAAATCCTCAGTTGCAACCAAACCTCAAACCTATTTTCATTCACTGGCCTCCGACGTGTTCTGTCATGCTCTATCAGTCATATTTTGTGCATTAAAGCGTGATCTTTTTTTCCCTTACGACTTCATTTCGCTGTTGATGTTTCATGCTCTGGCTCCCTTTTTCCATAATGTAACCCCTCGGCTTCTTAAAGCACATGTATGCGCCAGTTTTGTATTTATAAGCTGGTTTATAAATAGAGTTGATTGACAATCACCTACAGTATTTGACAAATGACCTTTGTGTCTCTCTGAGGATGAGAAATGCAGGTAAAGGAGTGAAGACGATGAATAATACAAGACGGACGAGCATTTTTTAAATGCAAAACGAGTCGATTTTACTACTAAGTGTATCTGTGGAGGCAGCAGAGTAGCCCGAGGCAAAATGTACACTTAGCTTTGGTCTATACAAGGCCCAGCACTGAATCATCAGAGCTCAGCTGTCCAAAATACACCACCAATCTGGCCGAGGCATATGGCTGCATGACACTCGTATGAATTACTACTACACGCTTGTGTTGTTGTTTTTCCTCCCTTTTAAATGTTCTATGAGCCGGGTAGTGCTCCCACCACCGTTTTACATGAGAACAGATCAAAATCGCTGCCCCGATGCCCGAGAAGAGCGGCCAGACAGGTCTGCTTTTTCAGCTTCTTAACACCAGAGAGAGAGAGAGACATGCAATCAGGCTCAAGGTTTTCACAGATCAGTCTGAAAGATGTGAAAATGAATATTTGTTGGTGATAAAACTGCATTTAAAGCTGCAGACTTCAAATTTGCCTTGATAACAATCGGCCATCTTCAGTGACTTATTTTGGGATTTTTAGGCTCTCTTCATAATTCGTAACTCTGAAGGTCTTTCAATGTTTTTCTCTGCTTTTTTACTCATTTTCAGTCCAGTCCTGACCATCCTCGTGTGGATGGTTTTGTTTTTGTTTGTTTGTTAAGCTATTTTACACTGACCTAAAATTCAAGCATAAGAAAGGCTGATGAACCAGTGTTGTGTCTACACATGACTGAAATATTAGCAAAGAACCAAGCAGGTACAATAAGGAAGATCTCACTGGGCTGCCTGCTTTTCTAGCTGTTGTCTACTCTTTACATCTCATGATATCAAACTCACTGCTGTAGTCCTGTCATCTTCATTCCCACCTTCTACTTCTTACTGTCTGTGGTTGGCATCCACGGTCACACCCCTACTACTGCATAATTTTAAGTCCTGAAACAATTGAAATGGGTAAGTTATTAAAAAACTCAAAACCTGTGCAGTTTTCACAAATTTGGGCTTCAGGTATAGAGATTAAAACTGTTTTCACAACCCTATATAAATGTGTTTATTTCTGCTGTAAAGTTGGACCTTTTAACATGGGAGTCTATGTGGAGAGACTCACTGTAGGAGCCAGCCTCTAGTGGCTGCTAGAGGGACTGCAGCTACTGGAATTATTTTCCTCTCTTATTTTTGATTTATTTGTTTTATGTATTTTTTTCTGTGTGATGTGCAGCTTAAAAATTTTAAAGGAGCAAATTTCAATTTTCTGTCAAAACATATTTATAGAAAACACACACACACAAACATACAGAAACACACAGACAGAAAAAAATCAATTCAGGGCACCATCATGCAGCTTGATTGCAATTAAAAGCTGTCCTCCTCTGGGCCCAGGGCTAATAGTATGAGACAGTATTGATCAGTAAATGTAAGAGTAGACTGGATCAACATCAGTGTCAGTCAATATTTAAGAGTGACAGCAGGAATTCATACAGAAGGAAGAAACGCGCAGGAGCTGGATGGCAGACACACTTCAGAAATCAGCAGATTCTAATGTAAACAGAAGTGGAAAACTCATCTTCTGCCTTTTGCACCTTTTCCCTGTTTTATTTTCCTCTACACCATCTAATAAGTTGAAATCCTGTCATTTCTTTCCTCTGTTTCCAATTCACTCTCTGCCTCCTTTACTTTAGGGTTGCAGGAATGTTTCATCACTCCCATCTCGACCTTTGACCTTCCCCATTAGTGGCTTGTAAAGTCAGAGAGTGGCGAACGCAGTCTTGTATGCAAGTCTAATAGATGTAAAATGCAGAAGTAGAGGAAGGTTGAAAATTTCTCCCTTAATGATAGTGATATACTCCAGAGGATTCCCTCCTCACCCGCTCATTTTTCCGCATGCGTAATTGTCCAGGCGGTTCACGGCACATTATCAAATTCATCAGCTAATCATTTAAGACCCCCTCTTTTATCTGCGAGAAGGTCCGCACATGATCCGATGGCGTGCCGATCGATAGGAAAATCGAGATATGCAAAGCGCGTTCTGATGTTTGGCATCGCTCAACCTTTGGCGCTTTTATCTCTGCCTTTTGATGTTGCTTTTAATCTGCATAACGCCGCGTGAGTGGATGATAGAAGCGAGCGTCTCCTCCACTGGAGAGGACTCCTCCGATGGAGTCCACCTGTCAGGGCAGAGGGAAGTTTCAAAAAAAGAGATTCAGGAAATGAGGAGCTGATTTTTGGTTAGGGGAGAAAAAAAATGTCAGAAAACGGTGAAAAAATGCAGGTCACGGGTTCAACATGAAACCTTCAGATGTCTTCTTCAGTCTCGCCACAAGTCCAAACCCAAGAAATCTTTAATGTCATGATAGAAAAGAAACAAATGCTTGCATTTGGCATCCTTGAACCATAATTGCAGTGTTTGTTTTTGTTATATTTAATTATAATGTTGAATAGATACTTGCAAATGCTTTAATTTAAAATTGGTAGCTTTATTTTGAAAGGAGAAATTGAGTCAATCCTTGTTTACAGATCTTTGTAATGTGCCTGAAAAGGTAAAGCCATTTCTTATGTTAGACACGAAATAACCTAGTTGGAAAATGGTAGCTCCACACATTTGATTTGGCAGATTTTTAAATGTAAATTTTTTTAACACGAGATATCATTCCAGACGCAGTCCCAAAGGGATTTGCATCTCTCTTCCTGGATCAAACCAGGATCTTTCACTTATTAGGTGACAAGGAAGACCACCCTGCAATGGACCCTCGGCTAACGAACCAAATTAAGACAGTTAAAATTTGTTGGCAGCTCTGATTTGGACACACGATTTCACAAACTTGTACTTTAATTGTTCAAGCAGATTGAAGGATTGCTCAAGTTTTGACAATCAAGAATGTATAATTAATAGAAGATTATGTAATTTCACAACTTTTATATACTCACACACATTCAAGAAGCTTTAAAAGAGCTTCTGATTAACCCCGTCCATTGTCTCCATTAAAAATAAATGCTGTCTTGTGCAGACAAATAAATATTAATTGAATAAGTCAGGTAAAAACACACAGTTTCATCAAAGAAAAAGTTTAGTAATTTACCAAAACAGCTGATCACTGTAGTTTACACTTAATCAAAGTAGTACATTTGGACTATTTATAAGTACTATTTTCAGTAGCAGATTAATACATATGTTATTCTGTAGGCAGTGAATTTCATTATTAGTAGTTTTTTTGGTCTTTCTGTTGAATATTATCAGTTTGATAGGGTTTAAACCCCAGGTGTCAAAAATAAGGCCTGGGGGCCAGAGTCAGCCCAGCAAAGGCTTTGGAAAATGGGATAAATTTTAAATTTTTACTCTATTTTCTAAGGTTTTACAACTTTTATCTTCTTATAAACACTTCCTTCATGTCCATTCAGACTACACTGAAGTAAACAATTGATAGATAAACAATTAAAAGGCAGAAAGTTCCTTTTTTTTCACTAGCTGTTATAAAAATGTTCAATTTTTAGAGATGTTTCACTGTAAAACTTTATAAAAAATCGAGGTCACATGTTTCATGTCCAATGTGACACTTTTAAATCTGAATGACATTTATTGTTTAATGCTGATAGAACAAAAGCAGCAGAAAATTTTAGTCATCAGCTCCTAACATTTTATATTTGAAATAATCCTCACAAAACCATAAAAATCGCAGGTCCCAGGATCTCAGACAGTTGAACCTAACCTAAAGATGATACTTTCTTCCCTAAATGTACTTTCAGCAACTCGGATCAGCTGAAGGTGCTTTAATGTTATGTTGTCATACTTCAAAATAAAAATCTCAAAAAAGTTTCTTTACATTTAAAAGCTTCTGCTCTTTTTATCTAGTGTTATTTCACTGATTTTGACAGTTTTGTGAAGCCTTTAAAGTAATCTGGGAATGCAGTTGCATTTGCTTGTTTTTTTTTTTAATATTGGTTTTTAATTGAAAATTACATATAGAATATATAGAAATACCCTTTACTTCAAAAATGTGGAGAAACAGCAAAAGATGCCTTTAAATCACACATCTATTCTAGCTGAAAGCAATATAAAGAATATAGTTAAAGGCTCAATAAACACCATATTTTAATACTTTAATACAAAAACTTCCAAATGTGTTTTTATTTAAACTATTCGTGCTTTTTCAATAATCAGTGTTGATATTGAATGATACATGCAGCATTTTTATTACTGTCATCACTGTAGCTTCTCAGCTGCTTCACTATAACGGGAGGAAGAGGGGGATTTATTATGAACTATTAAATACTATCATACAATCTCATACTTCAAAACGAGCTTTAAATAAAACCTTTAAGGGTTTTAAATCCTTTAAATGTGTCTTGAGTTTTCTTGTAGTAGCTTTTAATCAATTATTAAGCGGAGGTGGTGTATTTATTTAGAATTATCAGGGATAAGTTGGATCGGTGCATGCTAGATCCTTCAGTTAGTCGGATCAATTCAGTGAAACAACAAGGAGTTTATCAAAATTGTCATGCATCAAAATAAAAGCTTCAAATATGCTTTAAAAACCTTTAAATGTGTCTTCGCCTTGTGTTTTCTTGCCTTAAACCAGCCTTTAAATAAGTAGTAGTCGTAGGTTTGCTCTGGTGTACATTTGGTCCTCCAATCAGCGGGAGTAACTCAGGGAAACAAAGCAAATCATTTTGATTCTTAAACCTGCTGACAGCTACATAAGTATGTTATCTGCTTACAGCAATTTGCTCACGATGCTTTAATTAAAGCGTTAAAATGTCATTTGTTTCAAAAGAAAAGCTTCCAAATATGATTTTAATATTTTTTAGAGGTTTTAAAAAGCTTCACTTTGTGTTTTCTTGTCTAAATTAATAATTTGTTTTATATGTACAGCATTTTTTTAACCTGTAAAAGAACACTTCCAGAACAGCTGGACACAGCACATTTCAGCAAATTCAGTAAAAACAGGATGAGACTATTTTCATTGGCAGATTGATTCACATCTAGTTTCCCAGTGACTGGAATCAAAGTTTTAGTCATTTAATGTGATTTACTAAGAAACTAATACAGAATATTTTTGGCTTTATTGTTTAAAACTTTGGTCGTGGCATTTATGTTGTTTTCTCATCTTAAAATAGTGATAATCAGCAGGAGGGCTGGGCTCAGTTGACTTTAATCCATCTGAAAAGAAAGAGTTCATTGTGACGAAGCCAAGCACACCTCACCGTTTGTGAACAAACACGAAGCCCTGAGGGTTTGGTACTCTGTAATTTGGCTACTTTTATTCGAGCAGGGTCATTTTCAAGAGAAATTACAAATTAAGAATTCAATAATACTTTTACAAAGACATTTCAGGAAAGATTCTTCTTCAGTCATGATATCATACATAGTATTTAACAGTCCCTCTTCATTTTTTTTAGCTTAAAAAAAGAAACAAAGATGAAGAAAGTGGAATTTTTCAGTCGAAAATACAGTGTTTTCACAATTGTATAAAAGTTCCCAAATTTGGAATTTTCCAGTAGCTGGAAAATAAAGGAAAAAAATAAAATAAAATAAGATTAAACTTCGCATTTCACAATGTTTCAAAACACAATAAATGCTCTCTTTACGTAAAATTTGCCCCTATGATCGACACCATGTTCCTTTTTACTAAAATATATCTATATATTGAAGAACTATAGTACTGTACACAACAGTATGAAATAAATAAAATTAGGAAATATAAAATGGGCCACATAAATAATGTTTTCTTTTCAACCTACAAATAAATGAAATGCAATTTGTTGTTTTCAAAAAAAAAGAGGAAAAAATGGTTTGGTGTAATACTGACAAAGAAAAGAGGTGAGAAAACATTGCACAACATAATGTAAACTAAGGAACTGCTGCCTATAATACTGACACGGGTGCTTCAAAGAACAACGGTGAACCATTTCATCAATACTGAAGCTGGTGAAAAAAAGTAACCTTCCTTTTACACAATACGAGGGTGGCACTTGCAGAAAACACACAGGTTAAAAGGTTTGCATATAAGGCTTCTTTTTTCTTATCAAAAACACCTTACAAAGGCTTCGTCCTTCATTTTTTTTTGACCCTCCCCAAAAGACAACATCTGTCCGTAAAACTGTATTTTCCCTTAAAATGAAGGTCTCTTTTAAAAAAAAATAATAAAGAAACAAACAAAAAAATAAACGGGGGGGAAAAGCTCCTTCACACAGTCTTTGAATTTTAATTCCTTCATTTGATTCAAGAGGCCTAAAACAGTGTGGCTGGAGATGAAAACTAAAGACGACACCGTAGGTAGGTTGGTGATAACAAAGGTAATACTGAAGGACTGTAGTAGTGCAGATACTACTGCTCTTTTTCCAACACTGTATAAATATATACATAGGCAATACTTTTTATTATTTTTGTTCATGATTATAGAAGCGGAGTGCAATTTGTACAAGTCACTAGTTGTGCTATAAATACTATGGAACACAGGGGTTTTTATTTGAGGAGGTTAGCACCACACATATTTTTAGGCCTTAGTACTGTACATTTTTTGAAATGTATTCATTTATTCATTGTTCGGTTTGCATAATGCAGCTTATTTCACAAACCCAAGCCTCCCCCTTTCCCCTTCAATGCCTCCTTCTTCCTCCTCCTCTTCTTCCGGATTGATATTTGAGTCCACGTTGAGGAGTCCGTCAAGCTTCCCGGAAGCTTCAGGCACGTGCACGTACAGCTTAAAACACGGCGTTTTAAACCGAGCAGGTAAGAATACTTGAACCGAAAAGAGAGAAACTTAAAAACTTTTTTCTTTTCTTTACTTTTTTTTTTTTTTTCATTAGTTTTTCTTTTTTTAAACTTCTAAAGATGGGAAGCTTCTGAAGTGTCACCGCCGATTACACGCCATCCTCCATCGCGTCCTCGTGATCCGATTTGGTTTCCGTTTTGCCGTCCAGCGAGCTATCGTCCATCGAGTGCTCTCCGTTCTCCTCCTCGTCCCTCAACGTGTCCGGGTCCGTGTCCATGCTCTTGCTCTCCTCCTCCTCCTCCTCAAACTCGTCGTCCCTCCGTCCGATCTTTGCGTACGTTCCATCCACTTCCTTTCGCCCTGCATCTCTGATCCCTCCGTTCACCACGTCATGCCTCAGAATAGCCTCTCGCTCCGCCAGCTCTGGGTAACCCTGAGGAGTCATGCCCTGCAAGTACGCCCTGCTCATGAGCAGCTCGGTGGGCTCCAGGTGGCCCTTCTCGCGGGCCTCCCTCTCTGCGGCCTCCCGCTCCTCGGCCTCCCGCTTGCAGTAGGAGTAGCGGTGGTTCATGTGCTGCGAGTATGAGCCCGAGTGCGAGAACCTCTTCCCGCACTTGTCGCATTGGTAAGGTTTCTCCCCCGAGTGCAGTCTGGAGTGCTCGATGAGATGGTGTTTGTGTTTGAAGGCTTTCTTGCAGATCTGGCACTGGTGCGGCCTCTTGCCTGCGGAGACACAAAGCAGAGAAAAAACGAAAGGGACGTGAGAGGCGTCCTGCAGCCACAGCAAATCAAACACACACACACAAGTCAGAATCAAAGCAAAATATTGAGGAAAAACTCTGATGAACTGGATGGCATGGAGTAAAAATGACATCACCGAGCATTAAATCCAACTTATGACTTTGGGCTATTTGTTTATTCAAATTGGGAGCACGATGAGAAAAGCGTGCTCGCATTCACAGGCCTACATTATGGAAATTCCCCTCCTGTGGTTGAAGCATGAAGAAACTCAACCGCAACTACTTATTTTAGGCCCTGCGTGCCACACTGATGAATGCAACATAAATAAACTACTGCAAAAGCAAACAAACAGAGAAGGCGACAAAGGGGTAAACAAACCCGAGATGGGGCTGTGGGGCGGGGAAGGCTCCGAGGGGTAACCCTGCTCATCTCCAATTGCAATTCGAGTTCATGGCGAGGCCTGGGCCTATATTAGGTTTTGAGCTGGAGCTCCTTCCCTACCAAATATGACGGCGCGGCTCAGATGCCAAGGCTCAAAATGAGAAACCCGAGCTGTCCAAGAGTGCAGGGTGAGATAGTTTTATGGCTGGCTAAATGGCACTTTTTCCCCACACTCCTTCACCTAAAAAAAAGATACCTGGATTCTTTTTTAAAAGCTACAAAGAAGCCTCTAATTTTGGCATTTCCCTAACTGCTGCTCACCACGTGTGGAAATATGGCTTCCTGCCTCGCACAAATCACATGACTCCCCCCTCTGACAGCTCCGAAACTGCACTCCAGGTCCAACATCTGGCACGATATTGTTAAAAACACACAGCGACGCATCAGGAGTGGAGATAACGCATCCCCGCGCCCCACCCCATATTTTCTCTTTTAAATAAAGAGGAGATCTGACGGTGGAGCCTCCCTCCCTTTTATGTCCAACCAGATAACACGAAGGCTGCGTAAAGCACAGAGCGCTTCTCTACAGATAGTGGATAAAATAAATGATGCAACTTGGTGAAAGAGGATCTCTGTATAATAACTATAATGAAAGACTTGTTATCGGTGCTCTGAAGCTTCTAAGCACTACTCCGCTGATGTGATCTATCGTCAATAATAGGGCCGATAAAGGCATTAGGGGGCCTTTTGCTGGCTTTACATATCTAGGTGAATTGATGTGTGTCTTTAAAGATAGCAAAGTGGTTCATACAGGAAGACATGATTGGGAAATAAATGGTACAATCCTGCCTATACCTGCAAAATTACAGAAAAAGAACACACAAAGCCTTTACTCATTCGCTGGATTTCAACCCTGTCAATGAAGAAGCAAGTTAGGTGTGGGTTTACATATATACAACTTAAGGGTTAAACAGAGAAGGAAAGAAGGAGGGAAAAGGGGGATAACATAAAAAAATATTTATATATATTAAAATATATTCATACTGATAGGATTTGGCAACACAAACATTTAAAACATAAAAAAAGCATGGGGTTTAAAATAAGGGTCTAGAACAGTATATACCTGTGTGTTCATATTTGTGTCTTAGAAGGGAACTGCTCTTCTGGAATGTTTTGTCGCACAAGTCACACGCGTACATACCACTTTCGGTCTTCTTAATCTTCTTCCGCGACAGACAGGAGTCGGGGTCTGTCATGTCGTCCAGCCCTGACATGTAATCTGGTGTACCGTCGAGCAGGTCCCCCTAAAAAGAAAAAAAATCACAAACAAAAAAAAGGGAGAAAGGATAACACAATAATGAATTTAGTGTGATGATGAGATGTTGTATATTCTTTTAAAAGTGAGAAAACAGTGAGGTGGTCACTGAGTGTGTGGCAAATAACATGACTCTAGCTTAAGCTAGCTTCATGTAAATGTTGCTAATATCTGTTGCTGACATTATTCCACATGTAATCCCTTTAAATTTTTACTTAAATTATGAGTTTATGTTCTTAATGTGACTCAAACAAAAATAAATTTATTTATAGTTATGTTTAACCAGAAGACACCCTTTTCTGAAGTGTAAATTGCTAAGCTAACTGTAAATTAAGAGTAAATATCAAAATGCTACACATTGCTCAAAGAGCGTTCGTGTTAAAATCTCAAAAGGTGTGACAAATTTTTTTTTAGCAAACACAATAAATATTTTCTGAGCTGCTGGGAGTTTTTAACCCCTTTAGAAGGGTATTTACCTTAAGCCGCTGTAGCAAAAAAGCTAATATTTGTTAACCCACTATCTGGTTTTAATGAAAAGTGGTGTTTATTTTATCTATAAAGCTATAAAACCTATAAGCTCTTTATAAGCAGTGTATACTTTTTTAAATGTGAAAAAAGTTTATTAGTTGTTTATTTTTTTAGAATATGTATGTTAGAAATGCTAAAGTTTATTTTTCCTGCTAACTTTGTCTTGCTAGAAAAACAACCCTGTACTAGTAGTTACATTTTCAAGCTATATAATCTTTTAAGGTGACAGTTAATTATAACTAAATTAAGGAAAAATAAGGTGCCTGTGTTCATGTGCCGGTTTATTAACTCCTAATACTAATTTGAGAGAAAGCTAATGTTTATAATTTTAGTTGCAATTTCTTATATTTAGGTTTGCTATGATATTGATCTTGAAAAATTGTATGAAGTTTGACAAAAAGTTAGCAATTAGGTGTCATGCTAATTGCTATATGAACAGCTAAGTGTTTGTTAGCTAATTAGTATGCTTTGAGAGTGTCATTTAGCAAAACTACAAACACTTTGTAGCTCAATCTACGTTGGTGGAAAAGCTCATACTTGATACTTATATTATTTTAAATTACATTGATTTACATTATTAGCTGAATTTTGTGAGTTTAGGTCATAACTGCTTCATATTACATTAATATAAAGTTACTGATAGCATGCTAATTTCTAAACTAACTGTTAAATTTTAAAGGAAAGTTCAGAAGATCAACGCAAAAAAAAGGAAGTTATTTAGTTGTGAATATCCTCTTTTCTTTAAACAATAGCTGGTGAAAGATCATAAAAATATCTAGCCAGACACCATTTGTCCACATAGGATCATTACACTGAAGCGTTCCTTCCAAACAATCACACAACGCTACATGTTCTCATGCATTTTTGATTACCAGCACATACCGGCGTTTATTTCTTATAAAACTTTCAGCTCTGCAGTAATATCACCCATCTATAACTGACAGTCTCCTCATTATGAAACACCGCTATAATGGTGTATTCAGTGTGGTCTAATTTTGTACACGAGCGTTAATTCTGCACATTCCTTTAAAATTCTCTTTTATGATGAAGATTAGTCTTAAATATGAATTGATGGAGAACAATATTATAACATTAGAGGAGGCACAGTGAGCCATTCTTGACATTGCAAACTCATATAATGATTAAAATCAGAAGGTGCACCTTAATGGCCAATATTGAGCCACCGAAGCTTTCTTTAATGAATATGTGTGTGATAATGTGGGGACAGCACTGCACTGTGTTTTAAGAAGGGACCACTATCACTCTGCAATCAATTTGAACTAAACGCCTGTAGCTGTATTTTTAAAATCTAATTTAATAACTTAGAATAGGAAACATTATTAATACTTTTTTTCATCAAAATGGCTCCCTCTATGTTAAACAGCCTTCAGCATTCACTGGTAATGAACATGGAGACTGTGCATTATTAATCCACATGTAGAAGCTCATTTTGGCTTTGGCTCTCTTTAAAATGCAGCAAAGTTGCAATGGGAAATTTCAGAGAAGTGCACAGCTCCGGGGCTCACCTTTGTCATTTTTACAAAGGCCTTTCACCCATATTTAATAACAAAATATGTGAGTTCAGGCCAGCTCTGGAGGAGGACTGGAGTCGAGAGCATTAATGTACTCCAGCGGGTAAAATTTACTGTGCAGAGTGGTAACAATTAGAGCTTTAACGAGATTAAACTTTAGGGCCAATATGGGTCCTGTCATATATTTGAACCTGATGCTGTTTGATATTTTGTGCCAGTGTTTTTTTGAGGGTAAAAATTAAAACACCACTAACATTCATAAATCTGCAAATGAAACTCTGGTAGAAGGGCTGGAGGCTCATTAAGACGGGATGAGATAATCCAGTTAAAATGAAGTCAAGGAAGTAGAAGCAATCCTCAAAGCTTTTTCTTTTTCATCACTGAATGATATTACTGCTAAAACAGCTGAACACAGGCTGCACAGGCCCTCCTTTCCTCCCACTAATGACGCCTCACTTTTTCCACCCCGGGGTTGTGTCACAGCTGTTTATCTCCATCGCCTATGCCAGTTCAGTCTACCTCAGGTGAGCGTTTCACTCTCCTAACTCCTGAGTGGTTTTTTAATTAGTACAGAAATGAGTTCAGATCATTTCAGAGAATCTGAGTGAGCCTGGGGCTTTCACAAAACCACAGGTGGCTTATTTACCTGGAAACCTGGTTTCCGCTGGTACTTTCTCCTCTGCTGCATCTCGGCAAGGGTAGCTGCCCCTGCTGCATAAGTGTAGGCCATGTGTGGTAGGAAGCCCATTTGATCCATGCCCGGATAGGGCCTAAGACCTGGTATGCTGGCCTGCATCGGGGGCATGAATGTGGCGGGTGGGAAAGCGCTCTGAGGTGGAAGCGACGTGTACAAGGGTTTGGCCGCAAACGGGTTAATGCCGAAGATGGGGCTAGTGCTTTTTTCTAAGTTTCCATTGTTGGTAGAGCCTGAGAAATCCTTTTTGAGATAGGCCAAGTTCAAAGGCTCTTCGAAGTGCTCTCGGGGAGAAGGGATGCTGTTATGGTCAATGGTAATACTGTTGACTTTAGGTCTGCTTTTGACAGTCAGTGCATGCTTGGGTTCCTTCATGAGTCTCGGCAGAGACAGGTCCAGCGGCTCAGCCTGCAGGTCTTCTGAAGTCAAGCTGTTTGGAGTGTAGGAGCTGCTGTGAGAGTTTTTGGAAGAAGTGGAGGACAGATTTAGCGGGGAAGGGGTGTTGCTGCGGGAGTGGTCCAACTTTTCACCTGTGGGTTTGGTTTGGCTGCCGCTGAACTGGTGGTTTTTCAAATGTCTGAGCGAGTTGTCACAGTTGTTCACGTTGTTATGGAGCTCTGCTATGGAGGGTGATGTGATGCGGTCAGTAGGCTTGATTAGAGACAGTGGCGACCTAGCTGCCAAAGAGTCTTTTGGTGGAGTGTGGTGGTTATTTGTTCCGACAACCATATCCATGTTGTTCCTGTGCTCTAGTGGTGGGGTCCTGTTAGTGCCGTACTCGTACATCTTTCGCTGCTCAAACCACTCCTTGACAAATTCCTGAGGAAGACCGACCGCTATGGAAATCTTGAGCAGCTCCTCCGAGTTGGGCTCCATGTTCATGGCAGAGTATGCCTTCAACACAGACATGTGGTCCCTGTAAGGGTTAAGAGGCCCAGTGAGTACCTTGTCAGACAACACGGAGGAGGGTAAGTGAGTGTTCTTCTCCATGAATATCCCTGGTTTATTGGGCATCAAATTCTCACTGGGCTGCAGCACAGCTTTGATCTCCTCGTTCATTTTACACAGGTAGCGTTCGTGCTGATGCAAAGGTATTGGCCCGGGGAAGGTTTCTTTGCAGTATTGGCAAGCGTAAGGTGTAAACATGTTGTTTTCCTGCACCTTCTCATCCACACCTCCTTCAAGCATGTGGTTGGGTTTCTCTCGTTTGATATTGCTAATCTGTCTCTTTGAGTCTGTAGTCAAGCTCTGGAGGCAGGCTTTGGCTTCGTTCACTTTTTCTAATGTGTAGTCGATGATGCTTTTGGTGGCGCCGTTGTGATTGACAAGTGGAAGACCGACCTGAGCCGTTGTCAGCGCTTGTTTCTGCTCCTCTATCTGGGATCCCAGCTCCTTCATGTGGGCTTTGAGCTTGGAGAGCTCTTCTGGCTTGCAGTCCATTTTCTGCCTGCACACAGTGTTGTCCACGATCTGGAGAACCTTCTGTACTTCGCTCAGGTTATTCCCCAGTGGACCCGGGTAGCTCAGGAGCTGCGCTTCAAGTCCGGCCATCCCAAGATGCTGCAAGGGGCTCTGGGCCGAGTTGTGGTGGATCCCAAGTGGGCTGTTTCCCCCCACTCCTCCATTCATGAAAGGCCCAGGAGCGGCAAATCCATGAGAAGCCATCATCAGCTTGTAGTCGAAGTCCAGCGGCTCCGTCTTGATGTTCAGGTGGTTGTTGTGCTCGGCGAGGCTGAGTGGCTTTCCGTTCTCAAGCTTTTGTCGCAGCTGGGTGATGGCAGTGTTAGTGGGGGAGGCGGAGGCAGAGGTAGGGGAGGAGCCTGTCTTCATGTTGCTGCGCATCCTGCCATTGACTGCAATCAAGCCAATACACTTTTTGCTGCTGATGTGGGAACTGTAGGAGCCCGAGTGAGAGAAGCGCTTCTTGCAGTTGGGGCACTCATAAGGTTTTTCACCTGAAACAAGAAATATAGATGGTTAGCCAAGACCAGTAAACAACCAACTGGCTCAAAACGGGGTCATGCAATTTTGCTTTTTCTCTCATATTATTTTATGGTCTATACTTTACAATATAAAACGCCTTGAGGTGGCTGTTGCTGTGAACTGGTGCTATGTAAATAAAACAGAATTGAAATTAACTGAATTGTGCCAAGATGTGCAATATGCGCTAGAGCCGGTAATCTTCCGGTATAGTGTCTGCATTTTCTTTATTTTCTGCCAAACTGAATTGGTTTAGAGATCTTTGCTCTTTTTTTGTACTTACATGTTTTGAGTGAAAGTAAACCATTCTTTAACATTTATTAGCTTTAACGTTTTCTGCTCAGCTCAGTGAGCACACAAAGATACTAAACACAAAGGCATGGAAACCTCACTGACTACTTTTGTTTTGGACATTTTAAGCATGTTCAAACAAGTGTGATGGACATGAAATTATTTTTATTTGATTTTATTTGTAGGAAAAAAGGCTCCCATCCAATAAACTGTAGGAATTAATTGAAAAAACAAATTCCTTAAGAGTTGGGGCACTGTTAAGAAAATGTAAAAGTTATTTAATTCTTCATGTTTTGCTTTGAACCTAAAGTCAATGTAATCTGAAAAAACTGCATTAAAAATAAATTAAATTATATAAAATAATAAATTATAGTTGAGCAATAAGGCTTCCTAGGTAAGGATACTATTTGTTTCATGCTTGTATTACCAGAATAACAGCTCCACAGTACATGAAGTTTTGAAGTAAGTTTAATGTACACATCTGACCTCTGCAACAAAATACTCTTTGTTTAAGGCTGATAAAAAGGAAAGTTTGCAACAAGTAAACAAATAAATTCAATTCAATTTAAAAGCTTCACACACATAAGCAAATATTGCACACCCCGAGGACTTCAGTGTCCATTAACAGCCGACGAGTGTCCAAAAGAAACCAAAAGGAATATCTGTGGATCCTTAAATCACCGTTATGAATATTCAAAGAGTAGGGCAGCGTTCTTCCTGCAACTCACCGCTATGAATCCGGAGGTGTTCCTTCAGATGGTGCTTGTATTTGAAGGCCTTGCCGCACTCGGTGCATTTGAACTTGCGGTTGCCGGCCGCTTGGTTGAGCAGTTGGTGCTGTGACAGAGAAAAAAAAAAGAGCGAGAGAGAGAATAAGAGATTTAAAAAAAAGAAAAATGTACAAACATGGAGGGGGTAAGAGTTCAGTTCACGCTACAAGCCAAATGGCTCCTGTCGCAAACGAAGCATCTTGGCTTTCCACTCCCACCTCCATTGAGCAACTACAGGCAGCGGCGGCGATAACAGAGAGAATCACATACCTTTTAATTTCCTGGCTGCACAGCCAAAGGAGGCCTGCCTTTAGAATTTGGCAGCCCAGAAAATAGAATAAATGAAAAGAGTCTTTTTTTAGAGCGTTTCTCCTTCATTAGAGGTGCCGATGTGATCTACTTTTCATTAATTTGGGGTCTAATCAGTCCAAAATGTATTCAGAATCATCTGTGAGCTCTCTCTCGCCAGCATACCTGTATTCACACCATCTCTGAATTTCACTTTTTTTTCTTTCCTCCCTTCTGCAAATGTGTTGCAGTAATTAGGTCCCCCC